CAGGAGGAGGCTGAGAACCTCCTAAACTAATTCTCAATTTTATGTATCAGCTTGCTCTGTCACCCTTCACCTGTGGGCAGACAAGTGCCAGTTACATGCAGAAGTATGTCACCAGGAAGGGCCCCGGAAACATGCAACCTACTTTGAGACTCTGTGGCAGAAACTAACCAACAGCTGTCGATGAGGTGTTCAATGAGATGATGGTGGATCAACGTGAAATCAAACAGACCGAGCTAAGTCGAGCCCAGAGGCTGAGCTGCCCCGGGCAGCCGTCTCACCTGGCCTTCCACAGGCTGGGCACTCTGGTGGCCGTCCTTGTCCTCCACCTCCAGCAGCAAGTACACGGGGGGCTTGTAGTCCTTGGACTCACTCAGGAAGCCTCCCGTGTCCACCTTCCTTTTGATGGTAGAGTTCCAGTGATTCTTCACAGCATTGTCCGTTCTGCAGGCGGGAACAGGGGGGACATTTAAACCCCAGCTCTGTCTCCCTGAACCGAGTTCCTGTTTCTGTAAATAAGACTCCACCGATTAAGGCCTCTTTCAGCTCTAAGATGAAGTCTCACATGTCTCTAGCCCTTAACGATGGACAGAGCATTTACACAAGCTCTGTGAAACAAGCAAATGTATCATTCAGGCTATGGCAAAAATTATAAAACCGAAGGCACGTGTCTAAAACTCTCCCATAGCAGAAGGCCAAAACATGAGATTGTACGTCATTTAAAAAGACAGAGGTGAATACCAGAAGGACTCAAAAATGATGAGTCTGTTTAGTGGAGTGACTTACAGAGTGGAGACAAAGACTGATGTTTTCCATTACAATTCTTTTACTAGGTTACAGCACTACTTGATCTTTTTTCTTCTTAAAGGAAGCCCATCTCTCCATACCCCCAGCCCATTTTATATCAACTAAAGAAGAAACTGAGGCCCAGTAGAGAAAGGGGCTGACCAAGGAAAAGACATGGCAAGCTGGGAGAGGGTGAGAGCCAGGGTCCGGGCCCCCCAATTTCTGGCAGAGGCCTCCCTTTCCACCTCCTGTCCTTTCAAGCTGATGAGGTCAGGGCTTTCCTGGGGGAACCACCCCTCCTCCTGACTACACGCCTCCAGGAGCTCGGGAGCCGAGGCTGGGGGTCAAGGAAAAGAGCACAGTGCCCGCCTGGAGCCCGCCTCCAGCACAAGCACGGGAGCCTCGCCCTGCCCACCCCAGGCCCCCAGCCCCAGAAGGCAGCTCACCTCCCCGGCAGCATCTTGGCGATCTCAGCCCAGCGGTTGCCCAGCACCTTGTGGGCCTCGCAGATGATGCGGTCCTCCTCCTCGGTCCAGCAGGACTTCTTCACCTCGGGGTTGAGGTGGTTGTGCCAGCGTTCGCGGCACTGCTTCCCCAGCCGGCCCTTCAGGTGCTTGGCGATCAGCGTCCACTGCTTCGTGCCGTACTTCTTGACTAGCTCAATGACCTTGGGGAACAGCCTCTGTGAAGCGCGCGGGGCCTCCCCCGCCTCCACCACAGCGCCCTCACATCCACGAGCCTTGCCGTGGCCCTGAGAGGTGCCACGTGCCACACACTGCCTGGCCACGTGGGAGCCACTGAGGTGGTTGTTAAGAGACCACTCGGGAGGACTCTGCGCAGTCCACAGGCACCTGCCTGAGGTCCTTCCCCCCGTCCCCATCACTCACTGCCTCGAATAAATCAAGGCCAAGAGTGCTGGAGACTTCCCCTAGAGCAGAACTCAAGCGAAGAAAAAAGAGCCAGGGTCCTGCGTCCCTTCCCTCAGGGCTCAACCCAGCCAAGTCACTCCAGAGAAAAGGGCAGAAAGAAGGAAGACCTGCCCACGGGAGCATCCAAGGCTCACTCCCCACTCACTGCCAGGCCACGTGAACTAGAGGGGGCGTGGCTCCCTCCCCAGCCACGCCCCAGGCTGCCACGAGCCCCTCTAGCACCCCTGTGGAATTCAGGAGGGCACAGCCCCGAGCCTTGGTGCCAGGCTTGGGGGCCTGACCCAGCTGGAATGGAGTCCCTACCTGTCCCCTCTGCTGGGTTCAGAACACAAAACACGTGTGGCCTCCACAGCCAGGCCAGGCCCCTCCTTCTACAACAGACACACACATTCTCGTGTGCACACAGGCCACAGTCAAATGGGAAGAGTGGACATTTCAGGGCAAGAAGATTTGGGGGCAAGCAGAAATGTTCTACTCCATTTCCGTGTGGTTTAAATTTTTACAGCAACCAAGCATCACTTTGATTTAAAAAAAAAAAAAAAAAACAGAATTTTAAAACTAATTTTAAAACACCTAGTTCCTTCACCTCCCTCTTTCCCCAAGCCATGCCTGCTTGGGTGGGATGGCTTGGGGTGGGATGGCGTCCTCTGGGCCGACATCAGGGAGAAGCACGAGAGGGGAGGGAACTTCTGAGCAGTAGCCCAGGAGAGTCGTGGTGCTGTCTCCTCCTG